CAGTTTTGAGGTCCATGAACAACACCGGCCTCGTGACTCACAGGTGAGGCTGAAACAGTTGGAACTGTGTGATTGAGCAACACCCAGGGTGGGGCTGCCTCCATCTGCAGAATAAAGCTGCACTTGTTCCACAGCAGCAACCAGCTACACACACACACACACTCACACCCAGAATCTGGTGTTTCCAGATGAGAAAAGGTGTGATCCGGTGAAAACAAGACAGGAAATGGGACTCCAAGGCTTTAGAAAAACGTCTCAAGGCCAATAATATGTTTGTCACTTTCATCATCATCAGCTTGTTTGTGGGTTTAGTGCTGACATAGAAGCTATGGCTGTTTGAGGTGCCGTTGGTCCTTCCTGTTTCAAATAGCCTCTTACTCACCACCAACCCCCACCACAGCTCCACCCACTGCACTTCATGAAGAAACGTAGACAGGCAGGGTCCAAACTAATGGTGAGACCTCAATGATCTCATTGATCACTGGAGGTGGGGTGCAGTTTTAAACATTTCCTTTCAGATTGATGGACACTCGCAACTGGAAAACTGATTCTAAAGCACAAGTGAATGTATTTGCTCACTCCAGCTAAAGTCAGACTTCTAAATCTCACCAACTCACCCGGGTCTTAAAAATCCAACATGGCTGTTTTTTCGGTTTTATGTATCTTCAGAAGAATCGTTACTGCCCTAGCAACAACAAAACATTGTTTAATGTGACTTTACCCGCTAACAACCACTAGCCTGTAACTACGTCAAACCCCACAGAAACGTATTAAACTGAGTTTCCGTTCCAGTGTGATTTTATTCACAGCTTGACTTTGAAGTTATTAGACTGCATTAATAATTCATAGTTGATGTAATGTAGCCTACTTTAAGCATTTGCAAAGCATTGTAGCTGCTGTTTAAAGGTGCATGGAGTAACAGTTACATTCTGTGGTCAAATTTAGGTACTGCAGTCCGTGTTTCAAAACAAACGATTGACCACCTCTCAGTTTTGTGCCTGAATGAGTTCATTCAACGATCGTTTGTCAACTCCTTCATATCCTATGTAAGCGTGAACTTGCTTGTATTTTGTCTGATGAATATTAACATGAGAGTGTGTCTTTTCCCAGGCGATAGGGGGCAGCACAGATCAAAAGCAAGCTTTATGTTTGTGTTCGAGTAAGATCTCATCAACAGATCAAATCAAATCAAATCAACTTTATTTATATAGCACTTTTCATACAAAAAAATGCAACTCAAAGTGCTTTACAGATTAAAATGGCCCCATAGATCCCACATTCCCATCCCAGCCCCCCTCCCCAAGTATAAAACAATTAAAAATTACAGTTCCCCTCCCGCACCCAACTTCCAAAAGTGGACATACAATCACCCGCACACTCGTCCATGCACACACACACACGCACACACACACACTCGTGAACACCAGAGTAAACAATAGGCTGAGTTCAGATGGGTCAGGTAATGAACGACACATCATCAGCGGAGCCATCTGCCCTGGCAGCAACAGATCCACGGCAGCAGCCAAGTCACCGGCCCATGACGCCCAGTGGCGTAGGGCAGAAACCCCCACCAGTGCCCGGGCACTACCCGGGGAGCGCCCCGGCCGCCGCCGCCCCTGACCACCGGCCCCAAGGCAGAGGGCTCCGCAGAGGAAACACTGGAGGATTTAAGATATATAACATATAAAATAATAAAAGCTAATAATGATAAAAAGTAACTGATAAAAAGTGATTATAAAGATGGCCATTAGGGTGAAAAAAAATTCCTGGGGGCAAGATGACAAGCACACCAGACCCCCTTTCATCACTGGCAAGGAGTGAAGAATGTCTCTGACAACATTTATGAATGGTGGAAGTTTTGTAACTCTTGTGTAAAACACATTGGAGCAGGTCTTAGTGTCTGGGCGATACCATATTAGACACCATGTTTCCTTCTACGGGAGCCCATGAGGACAAAATGCATTTACTGAATTGTAACAAGCAATTACACAACTTTCACCGTTCATAAACATTTTACACATTTACCTGTTTGCACCTTGCCAGTGACGAAAGGCAGTCTGGTGTGCTTGTCATTTTGCTGGAGGTTGCGCTCCCATGGATTTTTTACCCTAACGGCCATCCGTTTGTAAGGTCTTACTCAAACACAAAAATACCGCTTGTTTGCAGGGATTTTGGTATGTACTGCCCCCTATCGCCAGGGACAATACACATGATCATTTTAAAGGTGATAAAGGTGACGCTCATTCCAAAAAAATACACTTTTTCTATGACTGACTGGAGATTAAATAACATAAAAACAACAACTAAAAATACCACAAAGCCCTGAAGTGAAACACATGGTGATGAAGGAAAGGCAGATCAATAAATGAATGTTGAGGACAGAAGTGAAGAAATTCAAACATCAAAAGGTCAGAAAGAGGAAATAAACCTTTTATGCGTATAGGTAATTCTAATAAAAGAGGTCCTGTTTCTGATTCAGTCTGTCTGATTTTCTTTCTGTGTGTTTGTATTTTGTTCCATCATCGTCGTTTGTGCCCCAGTAGCAGAGCTCATTTGAAGTAGTGCGGTTTGGTGTGCTCCATAAAGTTTAAAACATGTCACGCTCATTAGATTTGACGACTGTGTGACTCTAAAAGTAGCCTTTAAGTGGAAAGGGGCTTCTTTGTGTAATAATCCAGCTAAAAGACAAATTTCCACACTTGGGGAGGAGAACATACTACAACAGCACAAAGACCGGCGTTGTGAATGAGTGAGGGCCCGTGGGTCAGAGCCTGGGTGTGTACAGCCACGCTCCCCAACACTGGCCTTTTGTTTTTGTTTGCTCCTGTTCTTGGAGGTGTGCTGTGAAGTCAGGGCTGTGTGTGTGTGTGTGTGTGTGTGCGTGTGTGTGTGTGTGTGTGTGTGTGTGTGTGTGTGTGTGTGTGTGTGTGTGTGTGTGTGAGAATCTAAAAATCACAACATTTTTAAAGTTTTTTGCACTTTACAAAATCACACTCTGTGTATTTTAAATGTAGACAATTATTTAGACCATTTAGAAGGAAGAAGCCATGTTTTCCATGCATCCTGCTTAAACTAATTTTATAGAAACAAGAAAAATCCACTTGTCACTAATTGTCTAAAATGTCTCAGAAGGTCAACAGGGATTCTGACTTTCCTTGTGAGGGTCTCAGGACCTCACCCATCACTGCAAGGTAGATTTCCTCTCAGATCAGTCAGTTTTTACTTCTGTAAAAGTGTTTTAATCCTTTAGTTCAGTGTGATTTCACATGACAATCCACATTTTTTCCTACAGTCTCAAGTCTCTATTTAATTAGTGACTTTCCAGCAAGACATAAAAATCTAAATATGATATTTTAGAAAGTTTCATTAGTGTCTATTCAAGCAATAAGCCATGTTGCATTGTTGCTTTACTTTTTCTCATTTCTAAGAAGTGTCTAAAAATGCAGGCAATTAATGTAAGAAAACAGGAACTTGTGCTATTGTAGTCCAAAGCAAAGACAACACTCACCAGTATAATTGAAATTTAAAGTCATTTTCAGCTAATCCTGGTATCAAAACAAAGATTTTCACTGCAGATGTTTTTTGTAAATGTTGCAGCAATTTTGAACATGAAAACCATTAAAAACACACTTTTGTCAGCAGTTTAAATGCCTCTAAATGTATTTCAGCACCACCAGCATGCAGCAAAGGAATATCTGCAGTGCCAAGCATTTTGGAGTCCTCTGACTCAGACAACCGCCATACAAGTGCAGTTATTTATCAAATGTAAATGTTCCTTGGATTTAGTCCCTTTAAGCTTCAAAGAGCCAAACCTGAAACATGAAAATTCTTCTTTTGCATGGATATGATCAAAGAGCTTAACCATAATTTATGATAAAGAAATACTTGTAATTTCCTTAATTCTGGAGGCAAATGTTACATCTAGTAAATAGAAAAAATAGGAACTGTAGATAGAGGATAATGTGGATTTTACATCCTGGTTGGTTCAAATGAAGAAAACACACCATTTTGTCTTAATTTGCTCTAATCCTCCCTGGGATTTGAGCGAAACATTAGATTTCTCTTTAGTCTAACTGGTACTGGCATTATCCTGTAACACAATAAATAACATCAACGCAATATTCAGTATGTGTTCAATATGTGCAATTCTGAATGGACATTAGTATGTCTGTGTTCCTTATTCTGCATAATTTAGAAAACCCAAGTTTCCTTTCAGTTGTTGTTTTTAGTGGTTGAAGGTTATGATTGTAGCTTATTGCCTTTGTGTGTTTACCTGTGATCTTGTTAAGTTTTTCTTCTTTCTTTCTTCTAAGTGTATGTGCTGCTGCAGCAAGTGAATTTAATCACTGTGGGATCAATAAATTCTATTCTCAATCAATCAATCAATCAATCAAAGCTTTATTTATTTGTTATAATTCTATTCTATTCTATTCTATTCTATTCTATTCTATTCTATTAGCTGTAACCCAAGAAAGTTCTGTCAGCAGAAGCTAATGCTGTTGCTAGGCCCCTTGAACTGATGATGATGTTTAGTTTAGTTTTTTAGATTTCTAAAAAGCTAATGGACCTCACCACTGGTGAACTGCCAGCTACATGTTTTATTTTGAGACAAGGTCTACCCTTGGAGGTGGAGTGTTATTTTTTCCTCTTTGCCATGACATCACCATGGGAATAAAGCTAAAGCAACTCACGTCGTGACTGGCAGAAGGAGCCTTCAGAGTAGATCTAAAATAAGAGCAGATTCTATTGATTGGATGGCACAAATTATTACACTGTAAAAAACTGCTGAATTTTCTTAACCAAGTTATGTCAACTGGTTCCACTAAGCCTAGTTGCTTAGATGTAAAGAGTAATATACATTTGCTTTTAACATAACTATTTATATTACTCTTTACTCGTTACTAGGTTAGTGGAACCAGTCGATATAACTTGGTTAAAGTAAATTCAACATTTCATTTCTTACAGTGTACCTGTGTGACAAGAGGGTTCTTTTCTTTTAGGTGTCACCCTGGTGTGACTTTGAGGAGGCTGGGTGGGAGGAGATATGCATACGGAACCACCAGGACCCTATTAGTGGCTTCTGAAGACCTTTAAACTCACAGAAGACGGTTGTCACTGGAACAGAGTCCACCTCTTCATGCCTCTGGCTCAACTTTCACTGGGAGGAAAACTGAAACAGACTGAAACACTTGTTTTATGGTAGATCTTTATTTAGTTTCAGTTTGAATTTTGACAACATTAAAGAGGCAACTTTGCTATTTCAGACAATTGGAGTAGAAGATCTAGGGCGTAGCTTCTGGAGGAGGTTTCATCTGTGATTCTATACTTTTTTTTTAGATTGAATGGTCCTACCTTTTTAACTTAAACGTGAGAATCCAAGGATGCGTAGTGTCGTGGCTCTGAGTTTGTTTTTGTTGCTGGTTGAAGCAAAGTACTACAATTCACTCCAGGGCCATCAGTACAGTTCTGGAGTCAGTTTGAGTCCACACCATGAGAAGCCAACCAGCAGACACAAGTAAGTGTTGCTCTGTTACATTATCCCGCTTCTACTCAGATGTTAGCCTTATTTCTGAATGAAAATCCTGTCATATTCATCGCATCCACATAATATACTGATCATGTTTCGTATTTACTCCTCCAAAGGAACCACTGTGCCTACATCGTAGAGAAGACGGTGTCTTTAGCTGTGCAAGATGGGGCAGCTCCATATGTCAAAGCTGAGTACAACAAATGTTCCTGGGGACAGAAATGTCCCGCTCTTATGTAAGCAGACAGCATCTCTCATTGTATGTTTGACTCAAAGCCCTCTGTGTGTAACTAAGTACAGTGTTTGTCTCAGGTATCGTCTGCTCTACAAACCTGTTTACAAGGTGGAACATCGAACAGTTACAGAGCTGGAGTGGCGTTGTTGTCCTGGGTTCTCTGGTTACAACTGCATGGAAGGACACCAAGTTTACCAGCATCCTGAAAGCATGATGCCCCTGTTCAAGGGCCCCCCAATGAAAGGCCCTCAGTTTAAGGGACCACAGCACAAAGAGCCCATATTCAAACGTCCCATGTTCAAGGCTCCACCTGTGAAAGCCAACCCATGGAGTCAAGCAAATGGACCTCCCACTGGCAGTTTTAATTCCTACCCATTGCCTCACTTTGGGCCACCGATGTTCTCCTCATATCCTGGTTCCTCTTTTGAGCCTTATCCATCTGAACCTGAGGCGGTACCAGGTCTCACAGACACCAACTCAGAACCTGAACACGAGCAGATCCAAGAACCCGAGGAAATTATCCCAGAGGAAATCCCTGCTCCTCCCTCTGGAGGAGAACAACCAGCAGGGGAGACCACAGGTACCTCTAAAACCCATATTATTTTAATGCATGACTGTAGAGAATACTCACATGTGACAGAGCCAACACATCTCTTTATATTCAGTTTCAAGAACAATCAGACTTTTTATGATTATCTCAAAATTAAAAGCTTTACTTTATCTCCTCAGATCAAGTTCTCAACACTGAATTAGAGGAGAGGTTATATGGAATGGAAGAAGACATACGTCGTTTGAGTCAAGGTCTGGAGACTCTGAGAGGGACTGTGACAGGACTGGAGGACAGTCTGCGAGCCTCACTAAGAGAGGACGCCAACAGGATGCTGTCAGCGCTGCTCTCTGATGCTCCTGGCCCCATCCCTGCTCCAGCTACGGCAGCTAGACCATCCACTGTAGGGTTTGTGGAAATTCCCGGGGGGCACCTAGATACGGAGGGTTTAGATGGCAGCCAAGTTTTTCCAGGCCTCACTGAATTGACCAGAAAGGTAGAAGGGCTCAGAACAAAGTTGCAAGACAAGACAGCAGAGCTACAGGAGCTCAAAGTAACAGTGATGCGACATGATGGAGCACTGAAGAAGATTTCAAATGGAGCAGGACTGCCGTCAGACTCCAGCAGTGTTGAGGGAATTGTGGAGAAGTGGATGGATGAGCGGCTGAGTGCTGCCAGGGTGGAAATACTCGGTGGGTTTGAGAAGCGTGTGGAGGGTGCAGAGAGACGATGTGAGGAGAAAGCTGGGAATGAGCACCATCAATGTCAAAAGGAGATTCTTCAGCAGCAGGAGAACATGAGAGAAGCTCTGGAAGAAAGTTCATCAAAGCTGAGAAATGAGCTCGGCAACCTTTTGGTGCGGATCCACAGTCTGGAACCCCCTGAGGAGTGCTGTGACAGAACAGGCGGACTGGTAGAAAGAGTTCAGCAGCTGGAAACATCCGTGGCAAACCTCAACCAGTCCCAGGGGCACCTGAGAGTGGAGCTTGGTGGCCACAAGGATCACATAGAGGGAATGTTGGAGGGGCGTCTTGGATATGTGGAAGCAAAACTCAATCTGACTGGGAAGATCAAGTCTGAGAGGAGAAATGGTGCACCAGGCCAGGGCTTGGAGGCCAGAATGGAAGGCAAAATGAAGGCTCTTGAGGGCCGATTACTATCAGCTTTGGAGGAACTTGGTAATGCCACTGCCCCCGCCCTGCTGGAGGGTCACGCTGTTCCAGCTCTGGAGACGGAGCTGGAGTCCCTCAGAGGGAGGCTTGAGCTGGATATGGACAGAGTACAAAAACATCTCAACAGTCTTGAGATCCTTTGTTCTTCTTCTTGCTCCTCAACACAGGAATGTGCTTCTCAAAAGGACTCTCCTGTTGAAGGTCAGGAACTTGACCAAAATGTAAAGGAGGTGTTGGGCATGCAGGGTGACCATTTGAAGAGGCTCAACACAACTCTGGAAAATGTCCTAAGAAACCTGATCCTCACAGAGAAGCAAGCACAAGCAGGGGGAGAGTCGGGGATCCAGGAAGAACTAATGGGCCTAAGGTTCAATGTCTCATCAGTCAACCAGACCCTGAGAAGCCTCCAGGACTCCCTGGACTCAGTGGTCCATCAAGTGGGAGAAGCTAACAGCTCCTGGCATGATAGAGAGGTCCGTCTGGCCCATCAAATAAAAGGTGTGGTCCAGCTGGTTGGACATCAGGCGTCCATGCTCGGGGCAGGCGAGCGCAGGCTGGTACGACTTAGAAGTGAGCTGCAGGAGTTGAAGAGGAGGCTCACTGAGGAGGTCAGAGGGTGCCGGAGCACAGCCATGGGGGTCAAACAAGAGGTCACTGAGGTTGGAGGGCGTGTGGCCAGCGTGGAGGACCAGTGTAAGGGTCTGAATTACCTGGCAGAAGATCTGGAGAGAATCAGAGAAGAGTTGGAGAAGCCTTCCAACAATCTCCTCTTGAAAATCAACGGGACTCTGTCCAGCCACGCTCAGCAGCTGTCTGAGTTGAAAGGAGAACTCAGAAACTGCTCCTCGAAGGAAACACCGACTCAAAGCTCAGCAGCAGCGCGGGGGGACACGTTCACACTGACTTAGCTCAGCTCACAGGGACAATCTGATGGTGAAGGGGTAAATGTTTTACAGCTCTGGTGGGATCCTACCACAGTCACTTGTGTTTTTAATCTGAAATGTAAAGTACAAAGACTTTACACCTGCACTGAAACTGAATTTTTATGTCATATTAGATAAAAAGGGCAGCTAAAGGTGACTGCAGATGTAACAGAGTGCTGAGAATGAAGGTGCTAAAACAACAGCTCTTGCTTAAACAAGCACATCTGTGTGACATTCGTTTGTTTTTATACTGATTTTATGTCCAAACTAGATCTTATGTTGAATATTGATCTTAAACTGTACTACTCAATAAAATGTTGGAATTTTGAGCTGTGTTCTGTTTTTACTATAAATACAACATTTCTCCGGGACTTTCCCATCTGTCTGTGTTGAGGTCGTGTCTCGCCTGTTGTAGAACAACTTCAGTGCAGAGGAACAGAGAAGTTCGGGCTGTACAAACGAACAAACATCCGGTGACAATAGAATTAAGTCTGTCTTAAAACAACTCCAATCTCAAAAACCACCATAAACTGGGCATGTACGTAAAAATGTGTGGCTAATGGATGCAGATTTTGACGTGGGTTTGATA